TCTCTCTCTCTCTCTCTCTCTCTCTCTCTCTCTCTCTCTCTCTCTCTCTCTCGCATTTTTATTTATGCCATCCAAATTGAATGACTCCAATATACACGACAAAACAGACTGAATACTTGAATTGATTATTCTTTCCTTTTACGTTCGCAAATTATAAAATACAATATCTTATAAATCAAAAATCCCCCTCTCTCTTTCTCTCGTCTAAATTACCCAAATAAACGAGAAGGGGGACCGGCGATTAATGAGAAGCAGCGAAAAGCCTCCTATTACAAGAAAGATCCTTAATACAAGATAGCTCAGTTTCCGGGCTAAATTCGAGGGGGAAACCGCTGACCAAAATCTTGTACACCAATGCCCACTAATGCCCAGTGGGCATTACCTTATCTTATTTATCTTGTTTTATCTTCACAATGCCCCAGCAGGGCCTAATGCCCAAACTAATGCCGAAAAAATGCCTAGTAATGGCCAGTGATGCCGCAAATCTGTACACCACAATGCCCTCAGCGGTTTCCCCCTCGGCTAAATTAACGGACGTCACCCGTTGATTCCAGCACGAACTTATCGGCCTTGGAGTAAAATTTGTCCGGTGGAAAATTCATCGTTCGATCGTGTAATCGTTGGGGAAAAAAGCCCCGCTGTCTCGTATTAGAATCCTATCTCATAACAGGGGACTTTCCTCTAATATTTCAAATGAGAAATCATTCTCGCACCTCGCCGTTGCTCCGCCGTCGCCCGACGCCTTCCAGGCCTCCTCCTCCTCTCAGCATCCTCGGTTGCAGACACGACGCTCCCAGGCCTCCCGTTCGTCTCAGGCACCTCCGACGGCAGGCACTACACTCGCGAATATAATTATCGAACGTAACAACACTTGGCGCGACGCTTCACGCGGCACTCCCGAGGTTAAAAGTCGTGAGACACTCGCGACGTTTCACATTAGGCCATTTTTCGCGACTGTTTGGTGCACATACCGGAAGTAACCTCGCAGCTCCCGACGCACAACGCTCTCGCCCTTCATCGGGAATCGTCGAATCCCCGGGGGGGGCGATCGACGCCCCGGCGTCGCGATAATAATCGCCCGAGAAAGAAAAGCAAACTCCGAGCAACGCGAGAGCAAATCGGCCTCGCGACGCCGACGTATTCAATTATAAAATCCCATTAGAAACTCCGCCGCATTATCAAATTCGCGATCGTCCGAATGCCGAATATTTCGTTCGATGCGTCACAAGTTTAATTATTAATAAATGATCGATACGCGACGGCGAGGGACAGACGCGCGGGAGGGGGAGGGGGTCCGTTAATGGAATCGCTCGGGCCGACTATTCGCGTATCACTCACCGCGCTCTCAATCCGATAATGGCGACATTTTTCCTTTCAAATCCGCGCGAGACTCGGAAAGCGCGACGCGAAATGAGATATACTTACGACCCGCGGGCGTTAATCCTCGATATTACGCGGCCTCCGCGAGGCCTCCGCTCGCTGCTCCGAACCTGTAACCTGTAACACTCACGCGCGCGGTCACACGCGCAAGCGTCTGCGAAAAAGAGATCGCCGTGAGCTCGGCGCGTCGCGCTCAATTTGTCCCAATTTCTCTCGCAAACGCGTTTTCTCCGGTATATCGCGCACAACTGTAATTATGCGCGGATGAAAAGCGAGCGTGGTCTCTCGGCCCCTCGGCTAATCGCGGGGCCGAAGGAGCGAATATTACCCGCCGGGCACCGCAACGCAGCGACGCTTCCCCATAACCTCGATCGCTCCGACTCGCTCCGGGCCCGATCCGCCTCGAATCCGTCGAATCCGCGGCGTCCGCGAGGCAATCGTCGCCGACGAGCGCGAGTTATCGGCCACTCGGCATGGCAGCGGCCGCGAGCCACCCGTCATCGGAAACGATCGCGCTTCGAAGGACGATAACGCGACACGCACCACTCACCCGGTTCGCACACTGCCGACTGATGAAGGCGCGGCGGGTGGGGGGTGGGGAGATCGCGACTCCCGAGTCATGACAACAAGCGTCAAGGCCGCGTACCCGCGCGATTTGTTGTCCCCGAGGCGTCCCAACGTAAAAGTAAACGTACATTCCGCTGGTTTCTCATCGGTTTGTTATCCCCGGGAATGTTGCTGTCGCGCTTTATTTCACGGACCCGTTTAGCGTCGCGGATAACGGCTCGATTGGAAATCTATCGTTGTCTTAAGGATGTATTGGACGTACAATCTTAGACAAAAGTGCATGAAATTGGAAATACTTAAATATCTACTCTTAACGCATAGTAAATCTAGATGTAAGAAACTTGAACGATAGTTGGAGTCTTATTTGTACCCCTACAAAGGTATTTTTCACTTTACAAATGTTTCTTCCTGAATTATTTGCAATTTTTTTCACTTATGAGCCTAAACTTTTGATAGTGAAAATACTCTGATTTCAATTCTTAATAACGTCAAATATTTTCAAAACTAAAAAATTCGTGCCGACAGCACGAATATCTCAAGTTATATTTTATTATATTTTATTTCTTTAAAACGGTGCAGTAAAGACTATTGAAACTTGGTGGATATTTTCATCTATTCGTATACTAGATGTATAAAAAAATTCAAAACATTGGTACTATTTCTTCTACATTTTTTTTAGCTGTTTTATCCGTCAAGATCGGCTTTTCCCATAAGAGTACGTGTAAAATCAGTGTAAATTAAAATAGTTATATCTTAGCAACCGTTTAGTGGATGCATTTTTACTTTTCTGCAATAAATTAGGAAGACTAAAAGAACAATTTCACAAATTTTTAGCGACTTTGTACTATTTTGAAGATAGATCCGATACATCCTTAACTCGGCGAGTACGTCGCGATTTATTTGAGGTACGCTGACGCGTACCGGGTAGTTTGTGCGTAACGATTAAAATTGGCTAGCGGTAATTTTGCGTTGCGAACATTTTCAACCACCGCACGTAAAACTGTATCATGTACTTCTCCCTTCGGTGAAAATTTGGACGAGCACTCGACTAAAAGCGAAAACTAAATTTGAAAAAGAGAATTTATCTTTGTTTCAATCGAGGCGATATTCGTGTTAATTAAATTCGTTATTATTACTCTTTTCCGAAATTTTTATCAGGGAGGATAAAAATATGCAATTTTAATAAATAAAAAATCACGCGATTTATAAATACTGTTACTTTGACTGCAAATAAGTCTGAATAATTAAAAAATTCCTACGAAAGATGTCGTAATTTGATTTCACATTTATTTCATCCGTCCATTGATTAATTAAAATTACATGAAAATTGGGGAAAAAGTAACAAACACAAATTTACTTCCGCAAATACTCGTCGATTAAAACCAAAATCGACTTTATCCGCTTGAAATGAACATTTGATTGCCGTTGATTAACGTCTGCAAAAAGTTGATTTTTAAATCATTGCGATTTGCTTACTGCTCGATACACAATGCAAGAATAATCGTCCGACATTATTACTGCACGCATAAAAATGAAAATGAGAATTCTACAGTCTCTCGTTAGAGCATTTGGCAATTTTTTTTCACTCAAAGTGCATGAAATTCCGCGATAAAGCTTTCGCAAGGATCAGCCTCGGCTTTGAGAATGAAAAGGAAACTAAATCGGTGCAACTACAGAGCAGCATTCTTTACTGAACAATTCAAGTTTTTGGCAGTTGAAATGATCATAAGTCTGAATAAAGCAGCCAACAAATTACAGTCGAAGCGACGAGAGATTCAATGCGACGATACGAGATGTATCCTCTCTAAAAGTCAATCAGTAGATTATCATTGAAAACAGTGAATACTCATTCACAGTTACAAGTATACCACTGCGATTTTTAGTCGTATACTTAAACTAAGAAAAATTTCCAGCAGATAAACCTGTTAAATAGTGTTTTCGACGGTGAATTTTTCCGATTACATTTTCCGATTGAATTATGGACACATCCGATGAAATTTATCTGATGAAATGCAGTTACCGATGAAATTTGGTTGACAAACCGATCACATTTTTCATCGGATATACAATTTAATTGAATATATCCGTTTGTTATTATGTAACTGGATTATCCGATTATATTTAATCGGACATTTTTCTCAGTGTACACTTAGAATTGTGAATCAGTGGCCACTCGTTGTTTTCAGTGATAATTCGCTGTTTAACTTTTAGAGAGTACATAATATAACAAACGGATATATTCAATTAAATTGTACATCCAATAAAAATATAATCGGTTTTTCACTCAATTTTCAACGGTAACTGCATTGCGTCGGATAAATTTCATCGGATTTATCCATAATTTAATCGGAAAACGTAATCGGAAAAATTCACCATCGGAAACACTATTTACTAGGTTTATCCGAAAATTTTTCTCAGTAGTAGCAGATAATCCCGTACAGTTTCTCATTTGCAAATGTACCGAAATTATTTAAATGCATTTTTTTCCTCCAATCACGCTTCCTTTCAGAATTAATTACTAAATCACAAGAGACAAAGAGTTCGCGCTGTATTTCAAGACAAACTTCATTTGAGTTTCTCACTCGGGATTCTCGCGATTGCAACTACAATTATGAATACTAAAAAAAAAAAGATTCTTATATTAGCTTTAATAAATTATATTATGTTTCCAGATCAATTTTCGTCTAGAATATTTCGGCACAGAGAATAATAAATGTTTTTCGTTTTATCTCAGACTACACGCCTTAAAGCAGCAAATGTGCGTTAGCTCGCGAATATGCAGTTGCCTCCGTAACGCTGATTAAATTACCAATACTCGAACAAAGTCGCGCACATTCGTGCAGATTACGCACTCCGAGCCGAAACTTTCCATGGAAACTACGTTTACTTCCACCGAGATGCGAAAAACCTCGCAGAATGTGCAGCGAAACCCTCGGGGGGGACCAGCGAAATGCCTCGACGCTGCGTAGGCTATTTTATACGGGTATCGCGCACCGATGCAAATTTTACCGTAAAATCGACGCGACCGCGGCAAATCCGTCTCGCGACAACGGTTCGCCATTAATCACCCTGAAGTCTCGTTAATATTAATTTCAAAGAGAAATACAGTGACATATTATATGCATACCGGCGGTGCATGCACACAGTAATCCATAAACATGCAGGTCGCGGTCGACAAAGGCGAAACTTTGACGGTCGACTTTAAAACAATAAACCCGATCAAGCTGCGTAATACGATTGGATGCAGCTGATAAAACCGGTTGGCAGTGTAGGGACTTAGCGGATCGATTAAAACCCACGGGGGTCAAATGAAAAAATCAATTATAAATCAATATATCATAAACCACCTCGTGATATCGTAAACCAACATTATCAGCGATGGGTCTGCAATAAAATAATAACGAATAGCGAAATTTCTCGTATTATTTTCCGCGCGTTATTGCGATAAAATCTCGCGATAATGGGAATTAAATTTCCTACGTATCGCAAATAGTAGGTATTACATTTTTAACGACGGGCAAAAATTTCCCTAATGAATCGGCGATTTTTGAAAAACTTTGTTCGGTAATTTCTTTCTAGTTCGCAGAATAGCGTGCTCCATTTAGACTCGCGATTCGTAGTAAAGAAATATTTTAACCCGCTAACAGTAAGAGAATATAATTCGATAGTCTCCCATTGTTGAGCGAAGCTCTCCCTTGGAAAAATTTACTTTAAATGAAATTAAAGTTTTCGAAAGTAATCTTTCAAATCAGAGTTTACTTAAAAAAATTGAAAGTTTACTTAAGAAATTTTAGAGTAATTTTGAGTGGGTTACCACCATGCATCAAAGGGTTAAATAAAAGTTTAAAGTGTCCGAATTTACCTTTGACTTTCCTTATTGTCCTAAAGTAAAACTGTAAGGTTTTCTAAGGTATATTTTCCCAAGGACTAAGCGGGGACCGACGTCGAATGTTCCAGGGGCAGCAGCCGCAGGCCGAGGACGAGAACACCCCGCAGAAAAGGGTCGACAAGATCTTCGACCAGATGGACAAGAATCACGACGACAAGCTCACGCTCGAGGAGTTCCGGGAGGGTAGCAAGGCCGACCCGAGGATCGTCCAGGCGCTCTCGCTGGGCGGCGAGTAACCCCCATTTTCGTCACAGGCGGCACGCGATCCTTCGAAATCGGCAGTCTCCACGCCGTCGTCATTATCGTAATTGTCGACGCGAGCTGGGCGAGCCGCTCGTCCTGGCGGAACGGCTGACTAGGGAAGACCTTGGAAGAGAAGGCAAGTCCACATCCGCGCGGTTTGGCATGCACGCGATAATAGATAGGGCAATAATGAGCGAGGCGTCAATGACGTTGAGATCTGACGAATATTTTTCGAGAGAGATCACTCGTCGAAGAGCTAGTGTGTCTACCGCTTCTTTTCCACTTTCTCTCTCACTCTCTATCTCTCCTTCTCTCTATACTGTATCTCTCGGAGAAGATCGGTTCTCGTTCCCCGTTGGTGAATCGATCCCTCCACCCTTCGTTAACGATCCGATTTCGATAATCTCGATGCTAATAGAACAGTAGGTGTCTAGCGTTTGAGCAGTCGTATAGCTTTCAACGAGACTGGACGTGGCGGATTACATTTTTAGCTGGAGAGCATGCGGGACTCCGACATGAATAAAATTGTTAGCACGAACGATGAAGACGTACACGTCGCGGAGGGGCGACGACTCCCCCCAGTTTCTTTTGTCGCGTTGCCCCTCCCCCGCGCTTTCCGTGTATATTATTCCGCTGGCGAAGTGTCGCGTCACGGTAATACAGGTAACGAGTAAAATTCGAATACACACGACGCGCGAGCACGCCGCGCGAATTTCAACGAGGCTCGCCGGGGCTATTTCCGATTACTGCAGAGCGCGGCTCCACGTTAGGGGGGGAAAGAAAGGGAAGAAGAACGGAAGGGTGGCCGGTAGCAGGGACGGGTAAATTGCCGCGGGGATAAGCATTCAAATGTGGACAACTGATCATGCATTGTGCGGCATGTTGCGTAACGAGAGCGGCCGCAAACAAAAATTCCAGAGAGCCGCGATGAGCCCCGTACGTGTTTCAACAACGTCGAGCGAGAAGAAAAAAAAAACAGGGCGAAATCGGGAGAGACGTGCAAATTTTACAATGATGAATAGCGCGATCGCATAACGGTATGCGATTCGGCCGTATTCTTCTTCGTTTCTCTTGTTCTCTTCGTTTTGCGCAACCGCGCTCCACTGAATTTCCTCGCCATTACGAATTCAATCATCGCGAGCGTAAATATTAATACGGACTTTTATATAACGCCACTTTATATAACGCTGCCGCCTACGAGTGTTGCAGATTATTCATTTCCAAATGTCAAAAAGCCCTGGCGTCGAGTACTAACGAGCGTATGCGCGCCACTGACAAAATTGCAGCGTCGATTTGACGTCGGACGCGGCGTCATTTGCGCTGAGATTTCTTAACAAACGCGGCGGCACACCGCCGTAAGAGTATCGGCTCGCGTTGCGTAACGCGGCGGCATTAGAACGGCATGGCAAAAATTCGTAGATACGGAGACGGTGACTAAGCAAAAAGGGGGAAGATGAATAATGGCAATCTGCTTTCCGATATTAATGAGCGTTTTACGTCACTTACACACGACACGGAGCGGCCGGTCACACAAATCGCCAGCTGCAGCGCGCGCGCGTATCATCAATGGCGTCTTCGCCGGATCGCGGAGTCGAAGAGGAGAAGACGTACACAGTGAATGTGAAATCATTATACCTTGCTTACCTCTTAATTATAATAGGGAAAGTTGTGTATTTATTATTGACTCTATCGCACCCATAATGGGATCCCCGTCAAAACGTCAGAAGCTACCCAAACAGAATTACACGAGAAGACGGGGCTAACAAAAATAATGGATGATCTTATTAAATACGAGTACCGCGTCGTAATAGCGGTCGAACGTCGAATATTAATGAGCAAAGTTGCATCCGCCTCGTGCCGCTCTTGTATTGTTATCCTTGGATCCATTTTTTAATCGCAATCTTTTCAATCGTGCAGTCATTGACGTTCTTGACGCTCCACTTTCGAACTTGAACGACCTGAATCTTCATATTCAAGATGACTCGAGTGGAATAAAGCTAACGATCGATAAAGAAAAGGGTACCCGGCGTCATTTGGAACAAGTATTTTTACCTGGAATAAAATTACGTGAAAAAGGGACGGAACAAGGCACAGAAAGAGCACAAAGCAATCTGCATTTTTTGCATAATGGCGATCAGTTAATCATTATCTCTGCGCGCCTCCATCGAATATTAAATCAGCTGGGAAAGGACAGGAGAAGGGAGAGAAATATCAGATTGAAACGAAGCGAGCGTCCAGGGTGATTAGAGGAGACAAAGGGTCGCGCGGTCGCGGGACCCGTGCGCGTCGCGACAGAAGCGACTGGAAGAAGGAACGAGAGGATGATTCGCGTCGGAAGTTCGACTCGATGGACGCGACTGATTTTCTTGCGCGACGTGCAGAGGAGACAATAAAGCGAGGCAAGGGGCGAAATACGATAACGACTCGCGTTTAGTTAGTAGGGACGGGGCCGCGCGACGTGACATTATTGGTACACGGATTTATCGGAATTTCGGATCTCCTATTCTCCGATATTAAGGAGGGCGTCAGATGGTCGCCCGATAAGAGCGGGGAAAATCCAATGCGGCAGAGCGAGAGCGCCAAGGACGATTAAAGGGAGAGTTAGGTGGGTAGAGGTAGATAGGTAGGGACGCGCCACATCTCGCCGATCGATCCGTTATAACGTTCTGCATTCCGCGGGATGCGGTCGTACGAATGCGGCTGACAATGAGCTTATGCGGAGGAACAAAAGGAACGCCGCGCGAGTGCGGGAATCTGCGAGAAGAAGCGGTGCCCGGCCTGGCCGACTATACGTCGATGGCATATCTCTTGTAGGTGCGGGACCGCGCGGGGATGAGATTCCTCTCGACAATGAGGAGACCCGGGAGGACGGTCATAAATCTTGCCGCGGTTCGTGACCCCGCATGGAGACCGTTTTAAAGAATAAACCGAGACGTTTACACGGCGCGGGGAGGGCAGTTGCCGTTGGCGGAGGAAATTGGGCAAGTATCTCGCGAGGGCAAACATCACCGGGCTCGGCCGGAGTTAGCGGCAAGTTAAATAAGCTCCGAAAGGATCGCCCGGCGATGTATGAAAAATGCATGGGCACTTGGTCCGGTGCCCGCCATGCAATATGTAGCCGGTTGCCGCGCCGAAACTGCATGACGGCACGTAAAAATGAAGTTTCGGTGCGAAGCTCTGCGACGGGACCGGTCCGCTAAGCCCCCGTTTTCTCTCCCCGGCCACCGCGCCATTTTCTGTATCACGCGGCGCGAAATGCGGGACGGGCGAAGTAATGAAAATTGCGAAAACGCAAAAACGAGAAATTAATTTAGCCTGTCGGCAAAAACGAGCAAGATAAATAGGAATGCAATCGCGTTAATGAACGAATTTTTTAAACGAGTTTACGACGCGTGTGCCTCCCCCGAAAGGCTCCGCTGCAGCGGAGAATTAAACGTTTTAAGGTAAAAAGATAAGTTTGCCGAGGTGAATGAAGAAAGCTCCGCTCTTTCGAGGGCTGGAATTCACAGTGCCATTGAATTTTCAGAGCAGCACAGCGCCGTATCTCTTTCCATCGCTCTCGCTATCTATTCTCCGATTGGGTGGCTGTAAGGCGAAAGGAGATACGGGTCCCAACTTTCGCGGGAATGACTCTCTGCGAGAAAAGTGTCGTGTAACCGGCAGCAAGAATTCACAAGCTCGGGATGCCTCTGGAGATGTAAATGCGAGGCCGCGAAGCGCATGTTATTACTCTGAATAACGTGCGTATATTCGCGCGGCGACCAAAATTTCACGCACCGGAGAAAGCGCTGGAAGTGGAGCGCGAGAAAAAATAGACTCGAAGAACACGATAGAGCGGCGACGTTCGGTGTAACGGGCAAATATTAATTTCGCGAAAAGTGTACTTGTCGTTGCGGGTCCGCGAGATAAATCGCCGCTTAAAGCTCCGCCGTTATCTCGCGATGATTTAAGAATCGTTATTCATCTCGTACGCGCGCGGAACAATACAATGAAATTCCATCGATCTTTCCGACCTGTCGTTTCGCCGAGCGCTACATTAGCGACGCACTCTCGCGCCATTCTTTTTTTCTTTTCGAAGCTACGCAAAGCCCGCGCGCCATTTTTCGCACACGGAGAATTACGTACGGCCCGCCCGACATTCGCATTGCGACAAACAGCACGTTGCCCCGCGCATAGCGACGGAACGAAACAGCCCGGCTGTATCGAAATTCTTCGCGACTCGTCGCCCGTTTGGCATTTTTCAGAGATGAATTTCAGCCGCGCCGAGCGCGCGCACGCGTTCGCAGTTTAAAATTATACCGGAATAACGAGAGCCGCGCGCCGCGTCCATATTTCTGCAGCCTCTATCTCGCGCGCGTCGCGGCGCGTGTGCCGTCGCATCTATCCCCGTCGCGCCGCCAAATTTGCAACGCCCGACGACTCGCGAGCATCTGCATCTCTCCCTTTCTTAATTTTTCAAACACGCGGAACTTGCCGTCGCGTCGGCTCGCCATAAATTCAAGGCGCGTGCCCGCACCCTCAACATCCGCCGTCGTTTCCAACCCGGCGATTTACCACCCTCCCCCCTCCCCTCCTTCCGTTCTCACGTGGCAAAAATTTCAGTCGCCGACCGTGCGGATAAGTTTATTTCCGGATGGAACTTGAACGATGGCCAGGCGCCTTCGGTTCTCCAGACGCTTTCGGTTCTCCAGGCGGCGCGCAAAACTCATTTTCCCCGTAACGTGCTCGACGACGACGTTTTTTTCTTCCATCTATTCCGCCGTTAATTTCGCCGCCCGACTAGCTGCGGATTTTCCCGCGAATAAGGATTTACAACCCGCTGAAATTTGCGCTATTCTTCATCCCTTCCTTTACCTTTCGCACGTTTCCATTCGTAAAACCATCGGACGTTTCTCGCCGCCCCTACCGCGAGCATATTTTTCTTTTCACGCTTGCCTTACCCTTGTCTCGGTTTCTTTATCGAGGGATGCGCCATTGAACGTACACAACGCGCGGCAATGCGGTTAGCGATCCTCGAAGTTTCCCAGCGAAATAAAATCGCGGCGCGGAGCGGAGCGAATTCCAGGATAAATGTTTGCATACTGCAATGCATCAGCAGCCAGGAGCGGCAATTAATTACACCCATGATAAACTCGAAAGCCATTACGCCCTCGGCACTGCGCGCTCGCTGGCGCAGCCGCTTCAAAGGCCGTTTAAGAATTCGCGTGCGCGCTTATCGTCCTTCCTCGGGATTCTAACAATGCGTCGAAACTTTCATTCCTGCGATTTCAAAACGCCGTTTAGACAAACAGTACAGCAAAGTCGCGGCCCGCGAAATTTGCATCCGGCGACGCGACTCGCTCGCAAACAAATATTAACCAATCCTCTCAAGCCGTTTGGCGAGTCGAGCCCTCGAGCGAGACCGAGGTCGCAATTAATCGACAGCGAAAGGACCAACAGCCGAAATTGGCCGGTAGACGAGGTCCCATATGCGCGCGTGCGCATCGTCACGCCGGCGTGATATCAATCGCTCGTTACGCATCGGTGCGCCCCATTATTTAGCCGCGTCAAATATTTGCGCTGGCCGTGCGCTGGCAGTCAGGTGAGTCAGAAAGACACGCATGCCGCATGCCCGGCCGCGGCGAGATGGCACGGACCGTTTTCACTGCACGCGTGACGGGCATCGCGGAACGTCTCGATATTGGCAAACTTCCCGGCGACAATTTTTTTTCCGCCCCTCTCCTTTTTTCCGCGCCCTCCCCTCCCCCCCCTTCATCGGCATCCCTTTCCGAGATCAAACTGGAATAGCGCCATACCGATGGGGGAGGGCGATATTGGCAAATAACGTTCTCCGAGGCGCAGCATTAACATTATTACCTGCAATCCATTTCCCCGGAAGCGCCCGCTCGCCGCATTCGATCGCGACTATTGGCCGCGATTCTCGTTTACATAATTTGCGGGTCAGGGATTATGACGCATCGTTTCAAGAGGGATATTTTATCATGTCGCAAGATGTGGATTTAAGGGTTCTCGAAAACAACAGCCAACGCCATCGATCACGCGGAGATGAGAAATTGTTAGACGAGAATTACGAGCGAGCAGTTTTCCTAGCTGCCGTTAATTCGCGCAAAGACAAGCACGTGAGGCTTGGTAAAACGAACGGGATCAATCGCGACGACGCACGACTTGTTGACCCCCCCGAGTACAATTGCGAAAAGCGACGGAGCTTCCGCGAGCGGTACCGCCAACGTTCAACTCCGTCCCTCAGGATTTATTTGTCATGTCGATCAGGATTTAAGCAAGGACGTAAGCAGATATTCGCCGCGGAACTTGGAGCGCCCTATAAGGTTCTTAAGTTAAAGTCCCCGACAAGTCGACCTCCCTTCCGCTCGATCATCCCCGGATCGACTCGACTGCACTCTAAATAATAAGTGTTTGAAATCTCAAACATTTTTATTGTCGCCATTTTCCAGATGTTTATTAGTGTGCAACATTTCAAACATTTTATAAATGTTTGGTTTTAGGTGGTGTTTGATATATCGCGCGCGTAAAAGTGTTTGATTTTCCGAATAACTAAAATTTTTTGCAGATCAAATGTTTCATTTTTAATAATGCTATAACAAGTGTTGAGTTATGTTTTAGAAAAATATAGTATATCTTTGTCAAAATTTTTTAATCTTTCAGACTTAAAAGTTTTTATTATATGTTTGTAAGTACTTGCTTCATAAATGTATAATTAGACAGCGTTTGAAATACGAATCTGTTTCAATTTCTACACAGACAGAAAAACATAGTTGCAGTTACCACAATCTCACTATAACTTATACTTAGTCGTTTTAGGAGCCAACCACATTTTTATAATTCTTCCAACTACGTAAATTATGGTTGACAATGTATTATAGTTCTCATAGACACAATATTGGACCATGCAACTTATGATATGGTTGTCATAAACCAAAACGAGCTTTTAATTTGGTAAGGTGTACTACAAATATCGCAATAATACCACAAGTAAAATTTCCAATAACTATATGTAATAGTAATAATCCAAACCACTTCACTTTTGTTTACCATGTGATTAGTAAGGTGGATGATAATTTAGTTAAATTTACTATTATTGTGATTGTATTTACTATATAAAAATAATTAACAAATTTACTATTCATTACCTGAATATTTTAACAGAACAATAGTTAAAAGCTTATATTTTATAGTAAATTTTTTAAATAGTTGGCATCACTGTGTGTCTATATGGTTGCTATTATTAATGTTATAGTAATAATTGCTATAAAAATTATACTCCTGACTATAATTATTTTACTATGCAATTAGTTTCAAGCACTACATATCTTTCTGTCAGTGTAGTAATCGCGCGCGATCTCGGTCGTTGCGTCGGATCGATCCGGAGAATATTTCGATGTTAACTCCCCTCTCGAAATAACGCTTACCCCGGTCCCTCTCGGTGGACCAGATACGCGGATGGGAATACCGTATTCGGGGTAAAGGGCATTCAGACCCGCTCCCGATATCCGTTCAATTGAGAGAATTGCTCCGCTAACTTTCGCAACGTTACGAACTTTACAGCGGTGTCGGAGTTCCGCTCCGAATCGTGTCGGCATCGAGGTACTCGGCAAGTGCCTGCGGCTGTCAAACTTGCCTCAATATCCGAACCGCGTGTAAACAAATAAATTCGTACGAAGCGCCACACGCGATCTTAAGTAGCCGCGGCTCGATGTCTATCGCTACTTTTCACATTGACGTTTTTACCGGAACCGTCACCTGCCTGGCGATACGCGACCGCAAATCGATGAAACAACGTTCCCGCCACGCACACACTCTGTCTCCCTGCGATGCGGCTAGAGACGATATTTGTGAAGCCACGGAGAATAGTTTGTGCAAAAGCAATAATACGGAGAATAGTTTGTGCAAAAGCAATAAATGTTTGAAAAACATTTTCGCGCGACAGCGCGTAGAGAGAGAGAAGAGAGAGAGAGAGAAAGAGCAAATGTCATTCGTGCGCAACAAACCAACTGGTTCGCTGACGAGACACAGGGTCGCACAAACGTTTGGCGAAACGCCACGCGATGAAACGCGCAAGAAGGCGAATCGCTGCCCGGGGGGGAAGCTTTAACGTTTGACTTCAAGTTGCAGCTCTAATTGTCACGCGCGGCCTGGCATTTAATCAACCTTAAACAACAAACAACAACGAGGATTCATCCGCAATGTTGGCGCACGGAAATCGCTTCGAGAGTTGCCCTAATGCGAATATAAATATTGGCCAAGATCAACACGTGTCGTGCACGCGCACTCATTAGAGTTTGCACAGAGAGCTCGCAGTCCCGTTTAAATAACGACTATTTCATGACGCGTATTTTACGCCGGCGAGCAAATTTACCCTACATCCCCGGAGTCACGTCGCGAAGATTTATTCGAGAACCTGTCATCAAAAACGTGAAAAAAAACTCGCTATCATTTCTCGTTTCTTCTCGCTGCTGGGTGTCACAGTCATTATACGGCCATCGCGAACTCGATCTTTCCTTCTTTTCGTCGCGCTTTTGCACGCGACATTCAAATTAATGCAAATGTCATACACCGTAAATGCGAACAGTCGATTCCTCGGTGTAACGTGGAATAAATCAAAACGACAGATAACAATTGATAAATTAATTTGTCCGCGTGAAAATTCTAACCGAACGCCATATCCATTATTAATCGTAGAATAGCGTAATAAATATTCCGGAGGTAGGTACGCTCTTCATCGTTCGTACGCGTAGACTTGTACTCGAGAAATATATTACTGTTACCATCATCGTAGTGCCATAAAAAAAATAATAGCGTCTAGAAAACTGTCTTGCGGTCTAGAGGATTCAACGTTGTCACGGTCGCTTGGACTTACTTGTGCATTTTCAGTCTCTTACTTTGAAAGTTAGTCGCACGGGAAATTCCGGGCGAATCGTCAGCTCGTTATTTTTATACTTGTACGTTACGCTAAGGTAAGACTTTTAAAGGCTCGACTTGACATTATACTGTCGCTGCACCTACGTAAGATCTACATTTTTGCTGCTAACACTCCACTCCACGTGAGACTTTGCGATATTCTCGATTACATACAACTTGCGTACGTGCTCACCTCGCGGAACTGTGGACGTTGCCCGAGCGGTCGTGAAACATCTTTTCGCAGCGATGCCTCGAACATGTCCTAGCTCTGACACGTCGGAGTGAGAAACTTTTCGACCTGACGCCGACCCTCTTCTACGGGGAAACGTGTCCGAGTGCGAACGCGATAGCGCCGATAGCGCCGGATCCGCTCACTCCGGCCTGTCCGAAAGAAATGGATGCGACCGCGTTTTAAAGTCTGCACCGAAAAACGCGGCCTGGATATCACTTGAACCTTAGCAATAATCGTGGAACACTTTGTTAGATCGCGGCGGAGGTTTTTAATCGCCGTCGGGCGTTAAGAGCTGGTTGCACCAACATCAATTAATAACGTAAACTTTAACGTTTTTCTCTCTGTCTTGCGCGAGATCTACCGCGAGCCCCGCCACACATTTCAGAAGCGCGTACCCCCCTGATGAAGTTGGAGACTTTTATATATCCTCGGCACCGAATACTTTGCTAAACTATGTCGCGAGTTAATGTCTCGAGATAAAGCGCCCTCGAGATTAGCTGGAAAATAAATGCCCCGTTATCTTATTTGCACTTGTATAAAACTTACTTCGCCATATAACTTTGATTTCATCAGCGTTAATCAAATCCAATCTCCAAATTTATCAAAGGACTCGCATAAGTAGGATTATAATGTAGCCAAGGATAACGAATCACTGACCTGGAGTTAGTTCAATCAGATTGTCGGTGCAACTCGGTCCAAGTTGCGGACGGCGGCGCGCATACCCCGTGCGGCTCGGCGACGCGCGAGGGGATGAATCACTACGGTGACGTGTGAGGCGGCCGGAGCCGAAGAGTGCCAGCGGTGATCTCCCGTAACGATCGCTTCGGCAATGGGGCCTCCTCTCCGCGGTTTTTCATTCCTGCCGTGTTATCGCGGCGATTGAAAATTCTATTTTTCTAACGTAACCACACGTCCGATTTTGCTTCGGTTGCACTCGCAGCATCGCATTGCGTCAAAGGTTGCAACACCGGGGGGAGCACCGCTGTCGCCGGCTCCAGCCGGCGGACGAAAGGGCGATTTTTCGCCAATTTTATCGCCGGCGTTTTTCGCGCATCGATCTTAGCAGGCAACGTGTCAGGTGGGAGAAGATTGCGCCAGTAGAGGTAATCGTGCGCCACAATAGAGAGACAGAGAGAGAGAGAGAGAGATTTTAAAAACGTTTAATGAGAAAAGAAATAATCCATCGGCTTTAGCAAGCTCAGCTTTTCCAATATCCGCGAGCACCCCCCGGCCCTCTGATTATTTTGTTATAAACGCCGACTTTGAAATCTGTTTCTCTACTCTGGCGCAATAAGGTACCTCTGCCGATGTACTCTTGCCCACGACTAGCGTGGAGAACGGGAAAGTGCGAGAGAACTGCGAAGACGAACGAGCGGCGTGTATCGAGTTAAGTTTATCGTCGTATAAGGAATTATTAAGTAAAAGAAAAATTCGTCTTAAGCAATTTTTACAATTTTCAACGGGAAGCATAAGTGTAAGAGTCGAATCTCGCTTAGTGAAGTTTCTAGATGCTTTTCGTGTTAACTGAATTCTCGTAGTGAACGCTTTGTGCGAGCTGAAAGTCCCTCGTAATTCGTGAGGTGGAGGAAGAGGCGGGTGATATAGAGGACGGAGGAGGTAAACGGCGCGCGACGAAAAGTACAGGGGGGAAGGAGCGCGGCAAGGAAATCAAAAGGCCCGACCGTGCCTGCTCCGGGCGACGTTTCCCCATTTTCTCCGCGTTCATCTCGGCGCGCGGCGCGTCTTTTCGCGAGCGGCCGTCCAGCGGGAGCGTCATCAACGTTGCTAATTAGCGATTAGCAGGCGCGAGCGTGGTCAGAAAGACGGAGGTGAAAAAGAAAAAAAAAGGAGAGCAACGCGAAAAGTAATCGCGGCGAAACCACGATGGTCATTACGTGACTATCGGCCCGGGATAATTATTCCATTTGTATTCGTTAAAGCGGGCTTGCGCGTCCATTCGAGCGAGATCAGCGCGATAGAATATCTGTTGCATCGTCGCGCAGTTTATTCTTTACGATTTAACATAATTTTAACCGCTGGGTCGACTCAATTCCATTTCGATAGCGCTAATGGCTGTGAAATAAGCGTTTTCAATGCAAATTTAATCCAGCAAACGAGTCCCAACGTCGCATTCGTACCTGTGACCGTTTATCGCCGCGTATAATGCAACGCGGCAATCGGTTTGAATCCCTTGAAGCGCATTACGATAATTAATTTAAAGCCGCCGCTACGGTATCGGATTTAATTTCGCCATATTACAGCGCGAACGAGAAATTAGTCATTTCACAGATGGCTTTCCCGCGGATATCTGCGCCGCAATCGGGCACGGTGTCCCTCTAATTTGCGACAAAGGCTTTGAGACGGGGCGCGGAGACAACGGCACCGAGACAAAAGGCGCGCTTTCGAGGATAAAGCTGTCGGACGGTCGCGCGTCCGCGAGCCGCCGTCCGCGCGGAATCGCGCTCCCCGTCACGGCGGCTCCGAGATTCGGAATTTTTATCGGGAATCTCATCCCGCGTTCCCGTCGCCCGCGGAAACGAATGTAACCTTTATGGTGATTAGATCCGATCGATTCGAAGCGCACGGCGAGATCTCGACGAGAATTTTCAAGATCTACATCCCGTACTTCCGGGCCTTCTCGTTCGCCTCGAGTATTTTTATTAATAGCCGGAGATAAATCTGTTGCAGCTTCACGTGCCTCGAGAGGGATTGCGAGGCTTAATTCTTCTGTAACCCATTTTCCGATTGTTATTGAGCCACTCTGACTACATTACTCCTCCGGGAAGCGTTGGTTATGTCGCAAAGGTACACGAATCCGATATATCTATCACGATAGCGTGAAAATAGATGTTAGGGCGTTATTTCACTGTGAGTTATGGGAGGTTGACGTAACAAGAGCGTCTATGCGATTATATAAAATGCCCAAAACTGTTACCGCCTCTCCCATTTGACGAATTTCTTTGGCCGTTCCCCAGAGTCGAGTTTCTTTCTTAACGACGGTATCGGTAATCGCCTTTTCTTTTGCGAAATCACTTAACTGCGGCTCGAAGTGATCTCTTAAATTAATGATGACGAAACTCTTAATTCTAAGATGAATTTTAATACCAGGTGTTGAACACAAAAAAATTTCAAATGAAGGTAACACCATTCAGCTACACGGTTCTCTTAAAAAATGACGACGGTGAAAGAAATCGCGGATGAAAAGAGCAATAGTTTTGGGAGAGTCACGGTGTACCGATCCTAAGTTTTATTCTGTGGAGCGGATCTTAAGTTACAAGCATCCCCGCGTTAAATATACTACTTGGACTGTCTTGCGAAATTGCCAAGTGTAAATACGACGGTCAATACCGTGAATTATTCATATGTTTCCTTCGATAGTCACTTCCGAGGAACAAGCGCTCTGGGAGGCGACAAACCCGACGGAATTGCAATGGAATTGAAACAGAGAGATAAGCGTGAGTTTTTTTCCGACACTTCTCTCCACAATTACCTTCTCTCACTCTCTATTTTTTTCCCCCTCTCACTTGTTTTACGCGTCGGCGACCTTGGAAAGAGCGACTTTTCGATGATAACGTTAAATAAGGAGGAAAAGTATATTCTCTATACTATAGTAAGGTATTACTATTCTTAAGCGCTGCGATGCACGAAGGCTATATTCTAATGTGTACCGTTATACTTATCGCTACTTGTACCGCTACTATTACCGCTAGTATGTACTCTAACGCTAACTACTGTTACTATATTTGCAGCAACGTGCGAAACTTTTCCGTCTAAATGCATAATACACATTCTCGAGAGACACGCCCATAAACACACACGTATACTGTCCGCGCGTACACACACGCACACATTGAACATCACGTCCGTTCCGTGCACGCGGTAGGACGGACACGACACGTACACTTAATAAAACGTCAACATCATTGTTTTACAAACTTTCTGTGATAATTATTAACAATCACTAAATACGAGGAGAAATACTAAGTACGGGGCGAACAAAATGAAGAAGGAGCGAGATGATAGGCGGGGATTCGATTGGCGGGGAGAAGCACGGTGCTCCGACGGAACGAAAGGCGTCTTGTTAGGTGATATAAAATTATTGTTCCATAGTTTGTTGTACGATCGACGATCCGTTGAAATGGTTGTACTTGCTCTGATGCTGCGACTGACAGGAAGGAGAGGGGAGGGCGGAAGAACGGAGGAGCAGAGAGCGAATGCAACAAATAACGCGACCTCGAGACGTTGCTCGGTTACCACAAAAATCTAAGCGCATTGTTATTTTGTATGGTCCCATGCGTTTTTTCTAAATGACGACATCGTGACATGCGATTATGATGGCGATTAATAAAAATAACTTCAAGCACACACGGTTGTTCTTTTTCTCCTATTTCTCGACGCCCGTCCTTCCCCTAGGACCCTCCCGGCTACCGTTCATTTCCGTAGCACTGTACGATCCTCAAACGTGCAGCCTTTGGGCATCCTGTCGATAAAAGTGAAACCTCCTTCATATGCATATTGTCCCTTTAATGTACACTACCGGCCGGCAATATATCACCTTTCGATTCTTTTAGCATAACGAATTTCTAAGTGCTCGAATAAAAAATTCGAAAATCACGATGTACTTCGTCAAATTTCATCACCCTTCGTGTGCAAGATGTACCTGTTATCAGGTGTCTACTGTAAAATGTTGAGCACATTCGGTGCACTTCGGCGAAAGTTACGCTCAGAAAACCTTAAGGTGATATACTTTCGGCTAGTACTGTATATTCTATCTCTACTGTCAGTACAGAAAAGTCGTCTGTGAGATAGGATTCTAATACGAGATAGTAGCTTTTCAACACCCGAATTCAATCACAAATCTCTTTTCGCAACAATTGCACGGTTTAAAAATTTTCCACTAAATAGATTTCGCTCGAAGGGTAATACATTCATGCAGAAATTTCGCTACCTCATATTAGGAGTCTGTCTCATAATAGGTGACGTTTCTTTACACCTATTACTAATTTTTCTACACACAGCTCTTAATTTGTTCACACAAAGGGTATTAATTCAGATTTTTTTCCTAGATCTTCGAGAACATTTTTTTCATATACGTAAGCGTTGAATTTAATTCGTTAAATTTAAAGGATATTTTATAAGGATACCATAATAAACGAATTTCAGACAATATGTAAGTGCAGAAATGCATTTCGCATGCAGCATTGATGCCATATCTATCACAAAGCGAGTGTTACGTGGAATATCGCCTCTGCGCGAGAAAAGTGCTACGAGTCAAAAATAGCAATTTTGTAGAAGAACGATTTTAAACTTTCAATCTGCTTGCAGATCGTGCACAGCTACAACCACGTGGTTCTCCTAAATTGTCTGTAGTCTTTTCCTTTTCTCGCCTTGATAAATCTTTCTCCGTAGCGCGAGAGTCGTATTTTTCTTTTAAACATCCCTTCTCTTTACCGTCGCTGTTTTTAAATGAAACAGTCTTCGCGCTGGTCGTTTTTCGGACGAAATTTTTCTAGCTGCGCGTATGATGCTTTTCTGGATAAAATAAGTACGTACGTTTTCGAGTGGATAAATTACAAAACCGCAAAAGTTACATTTTCTAGTGCCGGTGTCGCTTTTCTTGCGCAAGGGCGACACGTTTCTTTGAAAAATATTTCCCTTAACGATTATAGTATTTACGTTCGATAGGCAGAAGAACCCTTCGCTTGAACGAGACATCGGATTATTGGATTTCTCGCGAAAAATCGCATGACGCGGCTATCGCGTGTAACGATAAAAAAAAATAATGGAACCATTGACTGCGGATGACAGTGTCCCGGTGAATGCGCTTTTGCGCTATCGTGTTCGCGATTTGACCCGGCTTACCGCTTGAGCCGTCGCAAGTGCCAGATGCAACTCGTGCAGCTCGTCCGCGCGCCGAATGTCCTCGTTCAGTGCACGGATCCTGAATCGAATCTCCTGAATAGCCATCTCAGCGATTTTCACTTTCAGCCGCTTCTCCTCGGTCTGCAACATAATCGTTCTCTGTAGTCGCCGAATCCCTCCCCCGCGAATCGAGGAGTCGCGTACTTCCAGCCGATGCAGCGTCAATCGGTAGTCGAGCTCGTCCCGGAGTTCCGATTGCACTGGTCCGGCCTCATCCCGGCCCGGCGATCGCGCATTTGGAACACGCGGTCTCGCGGCGTCGCTCGCGCTCCCCTCGGAATCGTCCCGTTGACTTCGTGACGCTGCCTTCTCGCCAATCTTCGATTCCCCGCGTCCTCCTCTGTGGTAAGTCGTGTCCCAGATACCAGCAGCAGCGGAATCCTCTTTCGCAAAGTCTTCCTCGGTCGTTGCAGGGATCTTTTTCGCTGATACCGAGCACGAAACTTTGTTCCGTGCCGCGAACTTTGATGGCAAAACGGTAGATTCCTCCCTCGCTGGCTCCAATTTCCGGCGTACTTCAATTGCATTCCTTCGGTTACTAATTACTTCGCCGTGATTATCAGTCTGTCGGGGCTGCAGCAAGAAGCAACGTCCTCTTGCCGCGCCTGCAGCGGTCGGGAAAATGGACTGATCGTCGTCCTTGCGTTTCTTGCCCGACGATGCAGCTGGTGGTTAAACGGGGAGATGAAATTTTTTGTCGCCAGCGACACGCCAGCGATTTGTCTGCAATTTCGACTTTCTTTCTTGCGATCTTTTTATTCGGGTATCGCGAACATGTATATTTATCGAGGCAAGAAATAACGTTGATACCTTTCTTCCCGGCAAAATACCACTTTGAGTTTCGTCGCATGATTAAATAAAAATCTCGTACGCCACGTCGGCGAACGAGAGTGAAAATAAAAGCAAAAGCAGCAGTTATTACGATTTGATGCGCGCGATGCACAGCCGGTCGAGAAAATTGACGAGTGCGGAAATGAAATTAAATTCCTTCACCTGAAACGACGGGAGCGCCGCACTGAAAAGAGAATCTATCTAGCGACGCGTCGCCCTCGTATTTTCTTTTCGGCTGATTCCTGCTGAAAGGCTCGGGAGTTCTTTCAGGGCAAATCACAGACACAGTCACGCTATTGTCCGAGATGCCGGTGTTAGATACTATCACGTCAGTGCCTATTGGTTTCTCCGGTTCACGGTCCGTCACACCCGACGACCTTGGTTCCTCGCAAACCTTACTCGAGAATCTCTTACTCCGCGAGATTTCCGAGCCGGATCGATTCTTCCCAAACGAATCTAAAAGTTACAAGCTATGTAGTATCTCTTCGTTTTCCACGGCATCAGCAGCTCCTTTTATCCTCGTAATATAACGTTCTTCGAATTGTACAAAGAGAAGCGTGCGATTCCGCGGGAACGATTAGAAATTTTTTATTTCATAAGCACGTTGTTCTGCGTGTGACACAGATGGGATGAATAAAAGTGTCATACACATCGATCGGGGTAGAGTCGTAAAACGACGGATGGCTGCTGGAGAGCTACCCCTTTAATGGCGCGGCTGGTAGCCACGCGAGGGTCCGGAGGGTCCGTGGAGAAAGTCATGACACTCTTTGGTACACTTACGATAAACGAGTGGAATAATAAAAAGAGAATAAAGAACTCGGCCGCATTATTGAGTCTCGATAAAAGCCGACCGCGGTCTCGGGACGATCGGGCGAATCTAAAGGAGCAGCTTATCGACTCGCCGAGTGCTCGGCAGGTTTAAAGAAGTACGAAATATTCTTTAGGGCGACGACGACGATAAGCGGGCGGAGCCGTAATAAGGATAAGGAACCTAATAAAACTTAGGGCTTCTTAGAAACGGCCGAGTAGGAAGTGGCTTATCGTCACGAGACACACGCTAAGAAATTGAAAAGTTCAGATACTTTTTCGGAATGTCTCCCATAAATACGGCGACATTAACGTTAGAGCGGAGTAAAAGTCGTCCCCCTTTATCGCACGCGAACTGTCCGTGTAATAATGATTTAGCGCTGAATAAAAAAAAAAGTATACTCCGACGTTCGCGGTTGCGATGATGCCAGTTTCACTTTTCATACTGTAATTCGAACAATGCGCGCTCCGATAGCGGCCCGGTAGACCGCCCTGATTCGCGAAAGTGAATAATTACGGCTGGGGGAGGAGATGATTAGACAGATTAGGTGCGTTATTGCCGCGGGAGACCTTAAAAACGGAGACGTTCCCTCAGAGGGACGCGAGATAAGCGAGGAACATACCGGTCGGGCGGATCGGCGTGACAGTTAATTTCCGGAAGAACGTTCCGTTATCCCCATATATCTCACGCTGACGACATCCTGACTCGTCGATGTTCCGCAGCGATGTGTCGGGGCGAGGGGTAGCGGAGGGGGTGGCTGGTTCCTTGACGATCTTCGTTATCTCGAGATTACCACGGTTTTCGGCGACTTGCGGCGCTTCCTCCATCGCGTCTTTCGCGCCCGCGTGCCTCTTTACGCCCTGCACAATTTGGCACGAATCTATTTACGCGGAAACGATGGGTCTGCGGCGAGGCAGCGGCGCGATAGAAAATATGAGGAGGAACATGTAAATGAAGCTTCCAATAAACCCCTTTGGCAAACGTTCAAGCATTCCGGCACGAGCGTTGCCGTTTGTAACCGTGATTTCAGTGAGATATCGCTCCGGCAAGAAATAAAAAGACGAAGCGGAAACGATCATCGGACGAGAGTTATCATTCTCCCGCGACGTTTAAGGGACTCGCTCGATAATACGTTGCACGTCTAACTTATTATCTTACAAATGTACTCCCATCCGTTTCCGAGCTCTTGAGAATGAGAAATAGAGAGCTCGCGAGAGAAAGGGAAAGAGCCCCGACGAGCGAGACAGCCGAAGGCGAGTCCGGGGTCCGGGGACCAGAGAAGAAGGAGAAAAGAAAACAAGAAAAAAAAAAGAGCGTCGCGTTTAGAGCAGACAAATTTCAGGTCGCCTGTCGAAATGCCAATTTCACGCGCGATTTACCGCCTGGGCCCTCCTGCCGTGGTACTTGTAGTTCTGCCAGTATTTCTTGAGCTGCGCCGACGTCTTGCCGAGGAAGCCCGCCTGGTAGAAGTCCCGCTCGATCGCGCGCCAGATCTCCCGGCGATCAAACACCGACGCGCTCTTGTCGTCCAGCAGTGGCGCGTACTGGCTCATTACGTTCAACAGATGCAGACGTTCGTCCTTGCTGAACTGGTTCCTCCTCCGGCCGTTGTCCTCATCCTCCTTCTCCTCCTCCGACGAACGGCACGGCCGCATTCTTGCGAAATCCCGCGGTGCCCGCTTCGCCCGCCTCGACTTTCGCACCAATTTTCACGCTCGACGCCTCTTCCGCGATCCCCGGAGGACTCGCGAGCAGTCGTCGACCCTAATCTCGGCTTTTGTTTCGACATGCAAAACATGCTATCTGCGATGCGCAGATTTTTCGTCGCGATGCGCTCGTTACCGCCACGTACCCCTAGAGGAAAAAATTTCTATAAATAACCACAAAAAATTTACTGGAAATAGAAAGTAGAAATTTTTATATCTTCATTGAAACATTAATCTTTCTGTAAAAACATCTACGAAATGGTACCACAAATTACAACTTTCTCAAATCAAGAAATTATTGCTAGTATTTCATGAAAATGCACAATTTTGTCAAACTTAGTACGAAACTTTACTAATTTACAAAATTTGAGAAACAACAAAATCTTAAAGAATTAAAACATCTGCGTACTTCTAGAATATTACAAAAATTAACAAAAGTGTTCCAATTCTAGCATTTTTATATTGATTTTTATAACACGTTTTAAATTTGCGTAGAATTTCTTAGATTCTGACAATATATTTTATTTTTTATTGTAGAATTTTATAGAATTATTTCCTACAGGGACGGTTATGGTCGGAAAGGCTGTCCGACGTTTTACAATAAGTTCCCTAGCGGAAAAAATGTCTATAAATAACTACAAAAAATTGACTGGAAATAAAAATTTGTAGAAATTTTTATATCTTCGTTGAAACATTTAATTTTTGTAAAAATATCTACGAAATAGTACAACAAATTACAACGTTCTCAAATCAAGAAATTATTGCAAGTAATATTTCATGAAAATGTACAATTTTGTAAAACTTAGTACAAAACTTTACTAGTTTTAAAATTTTGAAAAACAACAAAATCTTGAAGAACTAAAACATCTACTTGTAAAATATTACAAAAATTAACAAGTGTTCCAATTCTAGCATTTTTATGTCGATTTTTATAACATTTTTTCAATTTACGTAGAATTTCTTAGACTCTGGCAGTTATATTTAATTTTTTGGTGCAATTTTGTACAATTATTTCCGGCAGGGTTGTCGGAATATTCGTAAGTATCGTTGCATATCCGTACACACATATCATTCCTGTGCTCTAATAACGCGTCACTGTGAGCAAAAGCTATAATCTTTCGCACACGACAGACTGTAATTCCGAAATTTATCATAAAACGTCGGACAACCTTTCCGACCACAACTGTACGGACAGACAGCCCCGCTTCGGGACGCGCTTGACCCCGCGACGTTGGAAGAAGGAAGAAAGGAGCCGACGGCGTTTTATCGATGGTCACATGCAGCCTTCTACCTTGCGCAATCCCTCCTCGGGAATCGCATTTTTATGCCGCGCTCCAATGAAATAAGTAGCAACAATTGTAATGATCGTGTACGCGCCATTATACAGCCAGGCTATTCATCTCTTCCACGCTTCTTCACGCTGCACTTACCCGTGCCTCCAATATTACAGGAGCGGTATCGCCGGCTATTGTAATTGTATGCCCACAGGACACTTAACTTTCTATCGTCCGAACGCGTCTCCAAACGTGATGACTACATCGACGTATCGTTGTTTGCGCAATGTTTGTCGTCCTCGGCTTCCTGAAGAGATCTCGCCGCTGCTCCGGGCAGGTAAGAGAGTTTAACGCAATTTACGACAGTTCGGGAAGCAGTTTCGAAAAGGAAAAAAAAACACAGAAAAAGGTTTCGTTTGCACGGGAGAGAAACCAAACGGGCATGTGAAACAAATGCCACTAGCCACTCTTTGTCCGTCACTTAAAACGAGAACGATAATTTTTTAGATGATCCCGAAGGGGGATGGTGGCGAATCGATCAATCGGTCGACTTCTTGCGGGCCTCCGCGTTTATTTCGCTTCTCTTTGTTTTTTTTCTGGTTTTTTTTCACTCGCCATTTTCCCTCGTACGCAACGACCGTAATATGTGTAACCTGGGATCATCCGGTATTCTAAAAGAGCGTCGCGAGAAAGTGACAGCGCTCTTTGTGCGGCGGTAGTAAGGTCGTAAAACGCGCGCGGGTTCGCAGCCGTCACGACAAGCGGTTCAACAATGTATCCGCTGATTAATTACACATTTTCTCCGCGGTCCACCGCCGCACCGGCCGGGCCTTTGCATAATCCCGGCGAACGACAGGTGGTAACCCAGAAAGCGAATCGATGGACGGATCGTTCACGCTTCAGGAACTTCAAAGAAGCCTGCTCGAAAATTCGTCTTTAGAACCTCTTAGCGCCTCTCTCGTTCTCTCCCGAGCGAGATTCTCGCCCCCGTGAAACGAGGTATTCTCGTCTCTGTGTGAACCGGAGATTATTGCGCGGACCGGAATAATTGGCGCGCGCGAACAATTGCGAGAGAAAGAGAGAGAGAGAGAGAGAGAAGGAGACGACTTGGATATCGGTATTGCGAAATCGCAATCAAACGGCGCCCGAGAATCCGCGTGAGATTAACGCACCGAGAAAGTGCGACGTTACAAGCTCCACGGTAAACCGACTGCGCCGCGCGCGAGAGTTTGCACGTATCATCGCGAAATGGCGCGGGTAAAGCGCCTCGTTACGAAATTGCGCGCTTAAACGTCGCGGAGAACGCGACTCGCATCGATTTTCGGACAATAAGAACAAGCGTTTGCGCCGCTGAACTTTATGACTTGCGTTCCGCTTGCTTGATACGGGCAGCTTCAATCCCGCTAATCCCGTTTCCCGGTTAAAACCCTCCCGGATTTTCCTCGTAAATCTTACCGTCCCTATAAGCCGCACGTGAATTAAAAATCTAAACGTAAGGACGAGACGAGCGCGATTTTTCAAGCGCGACGGGGAAGGCCGCGATTTTAAACGACGCGGGAATTTCGCGATTGAAATTAAAGCCATAAATCCACTTTGCCTTGTACGCCGCGCATGCCATGGAAACAGCATACTAAGCACTAATATTGCATTTATCGAAAAAATAAAGTT